GTCTTGGGATGGAATGTGTGGTTTAGCATTTTTGAAGGTTCTTTCTTTACATGTTGCCTTATGCTGGAGATGTACTTTCAAGGGAAATAAAATTTGAAGGACCACACCCATACATTTAACTGTTTAACAAGGAACTTTCTTTATCTGGGATTTACATAAATTGTAAAGAATAATGGATTTAACAGCAATAGAATTTCATGGATTGCAAAATTTTGGTCTGGTCTTCAGTTGTGATTCAATTTTTGGCAGCATGAATCTTTTCTCAATCCAAAATTCTGAACATAAATGAAATTTGCTTGTTCCATGAAAGCAAACATAAACACCCTGATGTCATCTTTGAAACTGAAGGATCTTGGAATGGGTTAGCAATTTGATGATTTTAGCCTGTCTGTGAACAGAAAATGTACCCCAGTCATCAAATTAATTTTAACTAACTTTTATTGAAAACCCACACTAAACCAACTTAAAAATTACTAGATAAAAATGTGCTTGCATGACTAGCCAACTACATAGAAACAAACAACTAAAAATACTGTGCATGTTTGTGTATAGCAGATCTGTCTGATTTATGGACTTAGACAGTACTACAGTAGACAAGTATTAAAGTAGGACCTTCCATTTTCCTTATAGGCATTGTTTATGAATCACACATAGTACTTTAGCAGATTAAACTTCAGACAATGTTATTTGTAAAGAAGAACAGACTGGCTTTATTCATAATTCACCAGTTTGGCATTGCATGCATGTCCCCTCATGAAAGCAAATGTTGTATTCTGAACTTGGAGAAGATCCACTTCAAGTTGAAGAGTAATACACTGTCTAGACTTGCATTTGACCTCTTTTGTCCATTTGGAAAACGATTCTTTCCAATGAAGCCTATGTTCTTAAACTTTGTTCAGTTCTTTTTGTTTTGTAAATGTAAATTATGATTTGATATGTGCACTTGATCTCTCAGGAGAGGTTTCATGTAGCTGACTATAGCGAAATCTTTTTTGAAGAATTCAAATAGCTCTATAAATAAGGTGCCTGAGGCATTCTAGCATTGACATTTGAACCAAATAGACTGAATAGGGCTGATTTAGTCGTTAGAATGTATATTTATTTAACCTAATCTCCAAAAGGAGATCAAAATTATGTAAACAAAAACAACTGTTGGACGTGAAATTTTAAGAGTTCATTAGAAGATTTGCTTCTCTGGCTGATGATTTTAAGAAGTTCTTTCAGATAAATTGTGCATGTTTTATTATATAGGTCAGAGAGAAAGCGAGAGAAAGAGAAATGGAGGGGGGAAAGAGGAGGGAGGAGGGGTGTTTTTACACACATCCAAAATCAAGAAGTAGGTTGAATTTGTGTGTTGTACTGACTTCCAAGCATTGTAGTATTTGTAGTTGTTACAGTCATGTAGGGAAACATTTAGTTGATATTTCTACTTCCCTTTGGAAGTGCATAACTGAACCTACAAGCCCTCAAGAATTAAGAATACAAGTTGTTTTCCTTCTTAAATCATACTGCCTCTGAGAGTACGCTCGTGATAATAATGCTAGCTATCGGCTGAAAGAAAGGAGAATGAGCCATTTTGGTTGCGATACTTCATTGTGTTGGACCGGACTTGCCTCAGTCCAAGCTTTTCTTTCATTTTATTTCTCATTGCCTCATTTTCCGAAACCCTCTCCCCTTGATATTTCTGTTGTGACAAAAACTTATTCTAGATGACTGTGTGACGGAGAGAGAATGAAAGAGAGAGAGAGAGAGAGACAGAGAGAAGAAGAAGAGAGAGAGAGAGAGAGAGAGAGAGAAAAGAGAAGAGAGAGAGGGGAGAGCATTCTTTCCCTACTGCATATTGTTACAGAAGTTCTTTCAATTCGTTGAAAAGCCTTGCACTGCAGAGAGCACTCGCAGGGTGCTCGTACTTTTGCATTGAAAATTGTGAAATAGATAAATGGCAGGCGCACAAAAGGTGCAAAGGGAAAGAAGTGAAAAATATCAGTCTGTGTGGTCGACGGACCAAAAAGGTCAGGGCTCGGGCTGATCACAATCCTCTTTATAACGACGCGATGTTCAATAGCTCCAGAATGGAATAAATTACAAAAAGTTTTGTTAATTTTAGAACCGCATAATTATGTGCACTCTTCTCAATAGAGATCCAATGATGGGTCAGAAAACAGCAACTAATTCTATGAAGATGAGACATTTTAGAATATTCTGAACTACAAGTCATAATTTGTACAGTGTAAGCCTGGAAACTGGTGCAAGGCCGACTACACTGCAGTCTGCAGTTGGAGGCTTGATCAAAGATATTTTGAGATCATAAATATCACAGAGGGAGAAAAGAGGACTGTTCATCAGAATATTTTTTTGCTGGGAGGAAGGCCAAATCAATTTGATTTTCAAAAGGGGCATAAAAGTGAGGAAGGTTTGGGAACTGAGAAGAAAATAGCTTATTATTCCGCTCAAATATGAGCTAGCTTTGGGGAAAACACATTTATCTTGTTGGTCTACAGGGGTATTTGATTAAAAATAGGAATTGGTGTTATGTTGAAGGTTGTTGCTGTAGGCCTGTCTGTAGGTAAATGAATTCCTGATCTTTTTCCTCTTTTACACTGTAATATGAATTTCCATACATATACATTTACAAACTAATGTTGCAGCTGGTGAAATAAGAAGTGTTTTGTTTCAATTTAATTCTGGAAAGAATTGACAAAAGTGAGAGAAAGATTTAGGAATACTTCTGAGAACTATGAATTATAATAATCTCTACTCAAGCCCAGAGACAAGTACTATGATGGAGAGGAAGACTTTAAAAACATTGTTTTATGAATCCTGAACTTGTAAAATAAAAAGAGAGAGAGAGAGAGAGAGAGAGAGAGAGAGAGAGAGAGAGAGAGAGAGAGAGAGAGAGAGAGAGAGAGATAAAGAAAGTTTGAAATGATGCAAGTAGGGGAAGGCACTTCAATAAGCTGCCAATACAATCATTAAATTCTCATGACAATATAGGCTACCTATTGAAATAATATGGGAGATGTTTAGTGAGAAGTGCACTTTAGTTAAGATCTTATCAAATATATTGATGATGAAAACACATTCATCATCCTTTTCGTTTGAATTTCCTTTTAACAGCTTGTTTTTTCGGTTTCTTTTTTTCAAAATGGATTTTATAGGCAATCCATCAAGCAGGATTTAAATGCTTTATTACAAATAACAGCCTTACGTTGATGCACACAGGTATTCCTTCTTAGGCTCAAGGAGAATGGCTATTGTGTTTGCACCTGAACAGAATTAGGCTCACAAAACAAGCTTTATTCCAATATTAAAAGTTTCTAGTAACTTGGCGGTATATAAATTTGTGTATCAGATAAACCCGAGTAGTCAGTGTATGCAGCATTTTATAGCATAAGATAATACATACTTGAGATGTTTTGCAGTAGGGTTCATTTTGAAGCTATGGAGTAAAAGGAATAACAAAAGTTACAAATGTATTGTAGCCTGGAAATGTAGACTATTGTAGCTTGGTATTCAGTAATAGTCATCAATGGGTAGCTATTGATGTGCGGGGTGGAATCAAATAATTCAACAGCGGGGGTGCAGTGACTAGCATTGGCCCATGTCATATGGGTTATGGGCCTTTCCTTGATAACCCTGTGGTTTATCACAATACAAAGGATCCAATCCTGACTGGCATGCAAGGCTTATTGATGAACCAATAGGAAAACTCAATAGTAGCCAGTTTTTTTTGCCAATGCTGCAGTAGCTGATTTAATGACAAGAATTGTAACAGAGCCTTTGGTTCTTTGATGTGGGGGTAAACTCAATTGTAATTACAAGCCTATCTCTGAATGAAAGAAGAGAACCAAATGTAGCTAGAGTATCATTGTTGGATGTTATTTTCAATGTCTTTTCTTTCTTCAATCATCTTAGATTCTATTCTATACAAATAATTTGTCAAAGTTTGTTCATGAATGAGTTAACTTTTGGAATGTATTAAAGTATCATGTGGAAAAAGTCGGGAGGATTGAAAAGTATTAGTAAAAATAATAGGCATGCATTTTATACAATAGTTCAACTTCGAGAAGTTGATGGGTTTACTATTATGCATGAATTGATTTGAAAACCGCAGAAAGAAATGGGGATTAGACGTCACGGCTAGGTCACTGTTATAAGGGTAGTCTATCTGTTCTTTGAGTTGTCAGTTTTGTAACTGAAGCTCATCTCTCAACTCTGATTTTAATGATACTGTCCTCTAGCTGAACAAAGAAGAGAGTAGGGCTATTTTACAGGTACATTTTGCATTTCTACTAATGTGTAAGCCCATTGTATGCTTTACCGCATGCTTTGAATCAAGAGATCTTTTGTTGTCTTTCTCTTCGAATGGCTCACATGAAGTAAAATCAATGGAAAATAAAGTGCCCATGAGCTGGAAAATTTTCTTAACAGCATGCAAAAAACAAATGTGAAGTAAGCTTACTTTTAGGACATGCACATCAATCAATACATTGTGTGATTTTAAGAAAGAACTATAAAAAAGAAATGAATTATAGGATTGCACATACATGCTCAATGTCTTTTGATTTTTTCTGTTTAATGCATGAAGCTTTCTTCTCCCCAAGTTAGGAATATTGATATCAGCAGTTTTTGTTTGATGTATGATGTGATTATTAATGAAATAGGAGAAGGAGATAAGCCATGGAAACTAAGAGGAGGAAAACATCTATCATTAGGCCCATTTACACATCCAAGATACCATTTTGAAAAATCATCACATTTTATAGACTGTCATTTACATTTCTGGAAAAACCAATAAAAAAAACATTGGGTGTTTGCTCATTCTGTCTTTTGGGTGAAAATAATTTCTGGTAGATTTTATGGTGAGGTGCCATGTATTATTCTGCCAATAAAGCCCAATAGGCATATTTTTAAGTTGTTAAACTCTTTGGATGATTCATGTCTTGCAAGAAACTGTTATTAACTTTCCACTTCATTTTCTGTATCTTTTTGTTGAACAGTAAAACCAGACGCTCCTCAGAATCTAACAGCCATCCCAGTCAAAGCAGAAGCCATTGTTTTAACATGGAAAAAACCATTAAAAGGACAAACAGATGGATACATTGTTGTATACTGTCTCAAGAGAAACAAAGGTATGTATGTTTTTATTTATTTATTTGTTTGTTTGTTTATTTGCCTGCCAATCAAATCGAGGGCTCAATTTCATTTGAAATGGTCTAGTGAGAAAATTCAATGATTGAAATATGATTGTGTCAATTTTAATCAGAGTGACAGTGTGTCAATATTTGGAAGTTCATTACATTTTGTTTAGAAGCCCAACGGTTAACCAATGTTGTGTTTTACTTATTTCTTTGCTAATTTGTTTTAAATTTTGTTGTTGAAAACAAATTTCAATCATCTTTATAGGTATTAAAGTGTTGTTATGCTTATTCATCATCAGAAGAGAAATTTGTCTTTTTACATTTCCATGTGAAGTCTTGAGATATAATCATTAGATGACACATTTCATTTGAACAGTTGTGAACTTTACACCTCCCTCGTACTGGTCTGCTCAACCTCTATTGTTAGCACAAAGTTTAGAAAAGAATTAAACAGAAATCAAACAAGATGTCAACATTTTATTGGAAGAACAATTCATCATTTCAAACTTTTATAGCTCTGTTTTTCTGGCTTATGCCACTGCAATGACAAAGGGAAATTTTGAATGAGCGGATCTGTTGTCAATAGGTCTGGAAATGAATTGGACTTCAAAAATGAAATTTTAAGACTTTAAAGGAAAAAAAATCATTTGTATTATAGTTCTTTTGATCTTTTTGTAGATTGAGAGTGACTAAGGCTCTCTATTTGAAATTTGTCTTAGTCAAGGCTTTGAAAACTTGGTTAATAGTATTGAAGAAAAAAAGTGGATAAAATTGTGGGTTATTTGAATTTTGAGAGATTACTGTACATAGGCGGTTGGAAAACTAGAAATATTGCTAGCTTACCAATTTTCCAATGATGTATGAATTTTGATTTTGATTTTTTTTTTAAAACACATACAGTGTAGATCATAACAAAACAATTCAGCAATACATCATAACCATGTACAGTGTCCATGCACTGTCATTTGGCATTTTGAGTTCTCTGTGTAACATTTAGTCTTACTATATTCGTTCCTACATTGATGGTGATCAAGTTATAACCATCTAAACAAAATTTAGTCTGGCAGCATGGATAGTCGCAGTTTTACCAACTTTACAAAAGAAACCAGCATTTCCAGTCATAATGAATCCAGAGTGAAACTAGCAAATACCAAGATACGTGTATGAGAAAACAACATTAGAGTAGTAAAGAAGGAGCACCTGTATATTTGATGCCCTTTTTGCGGAGGCGTAAGTGGTACTTTTCATCGGTCCCCCTGCTGGAGTCCAGCATTGAACATGGGGTATTGTTTGCTCTCTTTTGTGAGTGACAAAACATATTTCATTTCAGATTCAATCAAGCATTCCCTAAAGAAAATTGCTCCTGGAAAATTGATTGTGGTTTGTGCTTGTCCGACGACCAAGAGAGAAACTTTCAGTTTGAAGATGGACTTTTTTTTGGTTTTTTGGTGCCGCATGTATGCAGAATGTGTCATGTTGAAGGCGCTGTTTGTAATGGCTTAGTGCAGACCTCCATTTATAACAGGATGTCTTTTTTTATTTATATAAAAAAGGTGTATGGTCATTTTCAAAGCTTCTTATTGAACAAGATTGGTAGCTTTATGTATGTAAATGATTTATATTAGAAAAAGATGACGTTAGATACTTACATATATTCTGATATGGTTCATTTAATATGATATTTCTTTTATTTTGACTTGATGTTTTATTCAGGTAATGGATGCGAAAGACAGAAGATTGAAGGAGGCAACGTGACCGAGGTTGAAGTCACCAATTTATATGCAAACCACACATACCAATTCCAGGTGCAATCCTGGTACTCAGACCATCCAGAAGGAGCATCTACAGGCTATATAGAGGCATCAGGAACACCACCAAGTATGTATTACAGGGCTCCCTCTACTCATAGTCACACTCAAGAAGAAATTACATTTCTAGGAGAGAATGTTAATTACGATGATGATGATGGTGATGATCATGATAGTGATGTTGTTGTTTTTGATGTAATGGTGATAAAAACTGTAATAATGAGAAGTTGTGAGTCTGATCTGTTAATCATGATGATAATGATATTGGTAATTGTGATGACGAGGTGATGAGATTAGACATCTGTTCCAAGATAAAGGGTTAGGTCTTGGGGTATGATTTGGTTTAGGCTTTAATAGCATTGTTCTGTAGAAGTTCTAATTTCTGGTAGTGTTAGAAAGTGACCTAGTAAAATCTGAAAACTTTGGTATTGAATAACAAATTTTCCCCTAGATGAATAAGCTTGTCTCAATAGGCCTGGCTTCATCAGCTTGAGTTTGCCAAATAACCCGCTATTTTAACTATCCCGATCAAAAAATAACCAGCATCAGCATCAGCCCTCAGTTGCAATTCGCTGTATTTTTGGTCAAGAAAATATCCTGAGATATCTTGGTCTTGATTCCAAAATATCTCGCTATTTTGGAAATAGCAGGCTAATTTGCGCCCGTCCGAGCCAGTTTGTGATGAGCGTATTTGTCTGGTGAAGTTTTGAGCTTCAGGATAATATCCTGAGTCTAAAAATAGCGGGTTATTTGGCAAAACTCGAGCTGATGTAGACAGGCCTTGTGTGTATGTGGGCAATTGCTTTTGTTGCATCAGGTTATTAGACGTGTTGTCTTGTGAATAATCCCAACCCTCCCCATACCTTTTCTTCTGATCCAATTGCCTTTAGTTCTTTATGAGCAAAGGTTTAGGGACTTTAGGTAGCAGTGTCATATGATTTATCGTAGAGTCATGGTTTATTCAAGCAGTCTCCTGTTTCATGTTTGTGAAGAAGACCAACTCCTCTGGGTATGTCTGATAGGTAAACACTGCTAAGCATTCATCATTTCCCCAAATGATGTGATTTAAATTTTGAAGGGTATGGTATAGAATTACATTGGTGGATCAGCAATGAATAGTCTTCCTCCCCAGTAGACAACTAGTGAATGCAGATGGTCGCGTTGTATTTCCTGGCTTATATTTTTATTGCCTTCTTTGATCTTCTTGTTGACTCTGAAATCGATGCTTTGAGCTTTATTTGAAAAGGTGGAAATTGGTAATTCAGGAAATATTGGATATCAGAAACCATTGGGCTTATGGAACCTGACAGTTCAACAAATATTATCAACTCACTCCTAGATCCCAATCAAATGATTAGTCTAACGCAGACACATTTGATTCATTTACAGAGAGTATCCCACATATTTTCATGAAAAAGCATGCAATAGTTTCCAGTACTAACCAACTATTTTTAAGTACACAATGTTTAGCAGTGCGTGTAGTGGTGAGAGCGCTTACATTGTGCCTTTTATGTCTTTTCCAAAATCATTTGAAATGGCCTACCCAATTCCATATTGTTGATATGGTGCAGCTTAGTCAGATGATTTTCATCGGTGGAAAAACTTACCAGTCTCGCGTCATATTCATACTGTAGGATACGATCACTGCATTTTCAACCCTTCAAATTGTCCACGATGTTGGTCTCTGTAAAATGTTCAGGCTTTGAAATGACAGGAGATTAATGAGAGTACCATCTTTCCTGGTAGTAGATGCTACTAAACTTCTGCAAAGATACTTCATACTCCAAAATTTATCAACAAGATAGGGTTCCTTTATCAGGTTTAAATTGACTTTCCTTGAATCCCAGGATGATTACCCCTACACCTGTTCATAATAACATGTCTCTACAGTCTACACAGTCCTAGATGAATGAAGTGTGTTCTCACTTCAACCTTATTCAGGGCTACAAAAATCATATAAAAATCGTATAACTGGGTGGGGCTTATCACGTGCCCGTACTGATAATTGGTCAGCTAGCTGTCATGTCAATTGACTTCTTCAAAACCAATGTCTTTATTAAATACGTTCCTTTATACAATGTTGTTATCAAGTCTGTACGCTCCTTTCTTTATAAGACCTCCTTTATACGAGTTTAGTATAAATTTCCTCTAGTCTTAACAGCTATTAGATAGACGCTTTGGCAACAAATCTGTGTGTTGCATCCCTACTTTACTAGATGAGGTTTGTGAGATATTCATACCAGTGCCTCCTTGTGCAAATCCAATATTCTTCGAGCCCACTCAGCCCAGTGAGAACTTCAGATGGTTTAGTGCACACTGTGACATAACCAGTGAAAGGATGAAACTAATCATTGGCTACCTCTTCCTCTTCAAAGGCACTCATGCCTGTCAACTCAAATAATCTAATATTGTACAGAGTATAGACATTAGTAAAAACTGAAATTTTCGAGCCTTAAAAGAGATCAGTCATTGTAATAGGGTTCGTGCATCACAGAATTATTACAGATTCAGCCAATTTGAAGAGCCCACACCCATAGTGATTACAACTTTTTTAAATTCATTACTTTCTTATTATTGGTCCGGTCTATTTAGAACTTTTGCCAATCTGTTAATCTTATTTTTCTGCTTTCAAACAAATGAACCTATTACAAAGGTAGGATTGCTCTTGAAGTCAAATCTGGATTGTTTTAAATGTACTGAACTTCACTGTGTTATCTTTCACATAAAATACACAATTAGAAGGAATGCTCTTACTATTGGGAAAAAGATTGTTTTTACAAAACTCAACTCCTTTTTTAAAGATGAACATCATCCTAAAAGGATAAAGGCTTATTAATGATTTCATATGAAAAGCTCAGACACTCCAATAGGCGCCATGTATGGACACCAAACCAGCAGCATCATGAGTGCTATTCAGTTGCATCATCATCATCATGATTCTTAGAAAATGATTAGTCATACAGTCGGGGCTTAACAAAAATGTCTACTTTTGACTTTTCAATAACATTTTTACAAACATATTACCTTTTACTTGTTTTTTGTGTGGGTTTAAGCATCGTCCAGAATTATTTATTAACTTAAGCCAATTAACCGTGAAATTAGCCATGGATGCTGGGGCCTCAAGAATGGACATCAAGGCAGAGCTATTCTGGGCTACTTGTAAAATGTAGCTGCTTTGATGATGTCAGAAGTTTCCCTGAAAAGATGGATAAGTAATTTAGCAGGGGGGATGCGGTTGATGGAATTCTGATCGATAATTATTTTAACCGCATCAGTAAAATGAAAGTTTTCTTTTGGTGGATGACACTATGATGCAAAGGGAATTAAAACTGTTTTGAAGAACTCAAACCTTAATTGAGAAAGATCATACTGACTCAAGATATATTCTCATGAATGATTGGTCATTCTATTTTAAGTGTGATTCATCCAAACTGTAAAGAAAAAAAGGTAAAAAATAAGCTAAAAATAAAGAAATAAAGAAGTAGTATTTCTCAACATTGCTTTTCTTTCAAGCAACAATAAACGAAAATATATTTTACCACAAAATCCACAGTAAACAGACAAAGTTCAAAGTATTTGTATTCTCTATTTCTAAAAGTTTTGTTCAGTGTTGATGGTCAGTCACACACACAACCAACTTTGATGTAGAGGTTGAAGATATGATGGACATTTAGAGACAAACAAATAAGATTGACTTCAGCATCTGAGCATCACATGATTTGTCAATAACCTCAGGTAGTTTAACTATCATGGTTTGTTCTTTTCTTCATTAAAAAAACAACATTTATAACCCTCTGCCCCCTCGGCAGCAACAAAAATGACAAAGGAAAAAGGTGTATTTTCTTCCCCCCTGAATAATCCAGAGCGGTTCTAATACCCCCCCCCCCCCCCCCCCCCCCCCCCCTCTTGCCAGGGAAATACGATGAACAGATGAAAACAAGTGTGAATTGATTGGGTGATATTTACTTGACATTCTCATTTTAATCCACTCCAAATTAGAGTGGAGACACGATGCAAGTTTTGAACCTCTTCAGGTACAAATAACAATTCTGAGCACTATACCGATTCCCATCACTCATTACTTTGGCAATTTTTTAGGTACTTTGGGAGATCTGTGACTCACTTTGGAAAACACATTAATAGTCCATAAGTAGATTTTAAACTTTTGAACTCCATTTAGGAAAAACATTTTAAATAAATATGTCTCTGATGCAATCATTGAATGGTTATGTTAAAATGGAATGTTGTATGTATGTGTCAGATAGTAGAATTGTGTCCTTTATTAATTATGTGTGGCTATGGACCTCAAGTGATTAGTTTTCATATTCATGATGTCACCAAACTATTGGCAAGTTTTTCAGAGTTTTCCTCTCATGGAGGTTGGAGACAAAATTGTGGCAAATTGGTTTGATCCAATTTCTATGTCGTCTCCCAAATTGATCTTATTATTTTTTTCTTTGATCTAGTAGAGCTGGTGAACTAAATTTTGTTGTCACGCAATGTTCAGTCGAGTTTCAAATGGGAGGGTTGTCTGTCGGTGTGTGAAAGTTCATATGTTTTGTCAACAAGCAGATCTTCAATCCATCGATCTCAATTTGCACCGCAGTAGTTGACAGAACTTCAAGTGAAGGGGTGGGAAACAAGCGTCTGCCTGCCTGCCCTGCTTGCCTGCGTGCCCTGCAACAGTGCGTGAGGGGAAAGCGTAAGATGGGTGTACGTGGGCAGTATGGTAATTTTGTTAAGTGGTCTTGGTTGAACGATGCCCTTGATGAGTTGTTTCGATGATGAATAATGAAGCTTCATCAACCGCATCAGCTCCATCTTCACTTCCTGACATAGAATGTTGTTCATCAGTCTCTTCACACTTTGCCCATTTAAAAGGTGAAGGATTTCATCCTCACAGAATATGAAAGAACAATTTATTCTAGGGTTTTCATCTTTTGCGATTTTCTTGCTACATATAAACGCCCATGCATGGCTAACATTTGTTTTTCAGTTGAAATAGTTTATAGATTAAACATGATCTGACATGCCATCATTTTGCAGATGAAAAATGGTAGTAGCTTTATT